TGGTCGCCGACGCCTTGTCGGACCAGGCGATGCCCTTCGGGCAGGCGCGGCTCGAGCAGTCGGCGCCCATCCAATTGGTAAAGCACGTGCATTTGCTAGCAGAACATGGACACACATGAGCCCACGTATCGCTCCTGGTAGAGTACTTGGCAGCGCCGCAAGTGCCATGCCCCGAGCACAAGTTGGCGCAGGTGCCATCGGCGGTGTCCCAGGCACCGAGGCTGAGCGCGACAAGGAGGTGGACGAAGCGCATGTATGCTCGGCGATCGGAATCGAAACGTCGTTTGAAGCGCGATCTTGCACCGATGTGTGGTGACAAGCACGTTAAACATAGACGTTAAATAGGTCGTGCAACAACCGTTTCGGTCTTGTTCAACGTCCGGCGGGTCCGGAAATATCACGTCATTCGCGGGCGAATGTACCGTAAGTGTGTCTGTCTTCGATTATATGGACATGGCTCGAGAGACAAGAGAAGGAAGGAAACAGGGGCAACAACTGCAGACCAATGCACTCGTTGGAAGTTGGGAGTGGCACCCCCCAACACTACGCATTCTAGATGGCATAAAGTGATATATTTGATGTGTTCGGATGGTTGCGATTTACAATTATACTGCGTTTTTATTGGACGCGATTCATTATTTTGTGAGACAAGGTCGGAGCCACTGGCAAAATCATGGATCAAGAAGCGCCGACGCGCAAGGCTCGAGCCTGAGCGAATCGGCCTGACCCGAAGACTCGGGTATTGACGCCGAATGGAGTCCGGCCTACCTCGGGTGTGGCTTCAGTCGGCGGCATCCAATGCACTGCGAGTACGCGACGCGCTATCGCCGTCGCCTTGGTCGCATAGCGCCACGCGACGACGCTTGCGACCGAGGCCACCCACGGTGATTGGCGATGCGAACGACGATGCCGACGGCGGACCTCGAAGACGCCACCAGCTTCACGCGTCACGCCACAGCAAGTCTCTCAGCAACAGGTGCCCGGAGGTGACGAATACACCTTGGAATAATATCAAGCTTCACCTGCGGCACTTACGACGCAGCGCTTCGGCTACGGCTACGGTTACGTTCCAGTAAACCTGACCGCGTAATATATATACTAGCACTGCTAGTATATTCTTCCCTATCGATGCCTACGGGTGATTCTACTTGCCGACAGAAGATTGATGTCACCTTGGCGGCCATTTGACTCATGTCATTTTGCTCAGCGAACTCTAAACACCAACACGATCATATGCCCACCATGCTCCGCGTACTTGTTCGATGGACGCCGACACGGTCCAGTGTCCATAGGGCTTATCACATGATCCCATACCTAATACGAGTATAGATATACTAGTATATAGATATATATATATTCGCAAACCCATACAATATTGTAGGATGTAAAAATGTGTTCGTTGAAAAAATCCTGCTGCGTACCGCGTACCAAGGTGTCAGTCCAACGTGTTCGGGACCGCCATGCTCTCTTGAGAGTGGTTGTGGCAGACAATTCGGCGCGTACATGGACATCCGTGCAGAAGCCGCGGAGAGATGCTACATATGCGGATTTCTTCAATACATCGATGGGTCTCTCGGCCGTCTCTCTGTCTCTCTCTTCAACTTCAAAAAATGGTGTCGTTAATGTGGAGTTAACACGTACTAGTAAAAATTACACTCGTGACGAGCCGGGCCCAAACTACAATGGTAGTGTGGTCTCCGTGCTACCGGTACCTGTAAATCCTGCGATTGCATTTCGAGCAAAGCAAGTCGTTCATGCATCTGTGCTGCCCGTAGCGGCTATCTGCTGCTCGAGAGCCGACAACCGTTTCAGTAGGTCGGCGTTGGCTGCCGTCGCAATCTCGAGCTGCTCTTGTAGCGATGTGACCTGGTCGTTAAGGCGGCTCGCGCACACTTGCTGCTTGATGTCGATTTCTTGAACTTGAGAAACGAGGTATGGAATAATTCCAATGTAGTTCATCGAGAGCATGCCGTTGCCGTCAACCGACACGAGGTGGGGTAAACACGTGGCTATTTCTTGCGCCAGAAAACCGGCTTGCAGACCCCGTGGCGCTTGCGTCATATTGATCCACTCGAATTCAATCTAAGCAAAAATCCTGAATCTTGCAAAAAGTTCATAACGAAGTTTTACCGGGTGAAGAGCATGAAAATAGCGGACGACAGGGATGCCGGGCGTAGCACTCGCTTTAGCCGCGCGTCAGACCGCTGTGTCATCGTTGCACCAGAGATAGTGCCACCAGCCCAAATTCCACCGGCAACACCGATGCCCCCTGCGACTTGAAGGGCGCCAGTGGTGGACGACGAAGCATCTGTCGTTGAAGAAAGTACTACAACACCTGTGATCGCCGCGCCACCGGCAGTGATCGTCAAGCCAGCCGTCCCGATGGTGGCGCCCGCAGATAAAGTGGCAATGCCTGTGACCGAAAGCGTGTCGCCGAGCGTAGTAGCTTCAGCGACCGAGAGCGTCGTTGAGCCAGTGATAGGGCCTGTGATCGCCGCGCCACCGGCAGTGATCGTCAAGCCAGCCGTCCCGATGGTGGCGCCCGCAGATAAAGTGGCAATGCCTGTGACCGAAAGCGTGTCGCCGAGCGTAGTAGCTTCAGCGACCGAGAGCGTCGTTGAGCCAGTGATAGGGCCTGTGATCGCCGCGCCACCGGATGTTACGACGAGACCACCGGCGACAGAGCCCCCCCCCGGCAGCCACCACAAGGCCACCTCGATGAATCGTTGTCATGCCGTCGCCACTCACGTCGAACAGCGGCGTTGGCGTGCCACCGGCGTACACCCGGAGCATGTAAAAGTCATCGGAGGGTTCCGCTGCGGCTGTTACCTTGAGCACCACCATGTTGTCGACGAGCGCGAGGGTACCCGCTGAGGACGCAATGGTGGCGACGTTGGGTCCAGTAGCATTGCTCGTGATGGAGGCTGTGGATGACACAGTTAGTGCTCCGTTCAGATCGGTAGTGCCAGTAACAACAAGCGTACTACTCGCCGTGACGGCCCCGGAGAGCGTCGAAGTACCACCCACGACAAGATTGGAATCGAGGGAGGAGGCCCCGCCGATGTGCAGCGTGCCAGTGCCTTCGATATTTCCCGTGATAGCAGCGCCACCGCCAGACACGACAAGACCACCTTGATGAATCGTTGTCATGCCGTCGCCACTCACGTCGAACAGCGGCGTTGGCGTGCCACCGGCGTACACCCGGAGCATGTAAAAGTCATCGGAGGGTTCCGCTGCGGCTGTTACCTTGAGCACCACCATGTTGTCGACGAGCGCGAGGGTACCCGCTGAGGACGCAATGGTGGCGACGTTGGGTCCAGTAGCATCGCTCGTGATGGACGCGGTTCCTGCCGATAGGACGAGGTTGCCTTTGTGCAGCGTCGTGTCACCAGTTCCCTTGATATCAAAAAGCGGCGTCCCGACTATGGCTTCTGCTTGGAGAAGGTAGAAGGAGCTGGGAGACGT